AATTTTTCTTTAAAGGCTTTTTATAAAAGATAAGTGGTAGAATCAGAGGAAGCAGTAAGAAAGTATTACAATGATTAGGCTATCTTTTAGTTCTTTAGAACTTCCTTCTAAGCATAATCATATAATCTCAAATTGTCCTAAACTACGAAAAACATAACATGTTAAATATTCAGAATATTAATTTATTTGAGGGAAAACAACAGAAATACCTAAATTAAAACCAACTATGCCTATACTAAGAACTAAACATTGTGATATGTAATACTGAGCACTGTGTAGAGAATCTAATCCATAGTTCAAGGGGAGAAATAAAGCTGGAAAATCTTTCTTCTCTGCCTGAATCAGGTAGTAATGCCTTTTAAAGAGACAGCTGCTATTTTCATGAACAAATAATACAAAATACAACTCAGCTGTTTGTGAGTATAACTTCAAAAGAATAATTGGTAGCCATGGTTTTATAAAAACAGATCATTGTCACTGCAGAATTATCACCTGGAAATAGTATAATTTGGTTATAAACTCTAAAAAGTCCATGTAAAAAGCATAAAGTTCAGTAACAGCCTATAATTCAACAATTATAAAATAAAAGATACCAGAATAAGCCATAATCATAAATCAGCTAAAATAAGCAGTTCTTGCAACTAACACATTGACTGCCACACTATCCTTGGGGACATGGTATTTTATTATGAAAACACAATAAAAACTTAGAAAACAAAACAATCCTTTCTAATTTAATGAAAAATTTAATGAAAAAATTTACTGACTTCTATTCATTTAATCGTTTTTAGAATTAATTTGTCAATATTAATGGCTAAATACAACTCACATGGCAGTTAATATGTTAAAAATACCACTGAGTATATACGGACCAGTTTTATCAGGGAGATGATTATCAAATTTAGAAATAGAAGCTGTAAATATTTTGAGACAACACCTGTGATTAGAAAATATACATTCTCCCCTTCATTTTCCTTCAAGAAGGTTAAGCTGGACACATGCTCACCTAGATTTCTCAACATCTCTTAATGCTTGTGTGGGCACATAACTAAAGTCTAGTCAATGAAGTGTCAACAGAAGTGAGGTACATATTCTGGGTCCTGGTCTTCTAGGGATGGTTCAATGCCTCCTCTCCTGATTCCTTAATACTACTCAATAGTC